TAATAAATTTTTATAAAAATATAATTATTTATATTAAAAAGTATTTTATATTTCAAAGTATTATATTTATTAAATATAAATTATATAATAAATTTAAATTACTACCAATTTCTAGCTAATTTTTTATTAAATTATTTATAGATTTTATTATAAATCTATTTTTTATTATAATAAAAAATAATATTTTAGATTTAATTTTTATTATTATCTATAGATTTCTATAATAATATTAATTTTTATTTATTTTATATATTATAATTATTTCAGAATTTGCTAAACTTCTTTATAAAAAAATTAAACTTTAGTTAAGACTATTTTAGAATATAATTTTAAATAAAGATTTTTTTATTAATATATTTTAGTTTTAAGTTATATATTATACTTAAATTAAATTTTACTTATTAATAATATTTTAAGCTTAGATTAATAATTAAACTAAAAAATAAATTAGACTTTTAAATAATATTTTTAATATTTTATTAATAAAAATAAATTAAACTGGCCAATTCTATTATTTTTTTTAATTTATTTATAATAATACTCTAAATTTAACTACTAGTTATTCTTTTTTTTAGATTTGTTTAAATTATTTATCTAATTTTCATTTTTTTATTAAAATTAGTATTTTTTGAAGAAAGATTTTTACAGCTAAAGATTAAATTAATAAACTAGTTATATTATAAAAACATTTATAAAATTACTAGTAAAAAACTAATAAAATATAAAAGAAATATTATAATAAAAAATATTAGCTGATAATTTTTAAAAAAAAATCTAATAAAACTGTTTATTAAAAGTTTAAAAATTTAAATTTTTTTAAAAACTAGTTTTTTAATATACTTATTGTTATATATAATATATATTTTATAATAGATTTTTTTTAAAAAATTTCTATTTAGCTCTAGTTTATAAAAAAATCTATTATTTCTAGATATTGAATAAAATATAGTTAGATTATTTATAATAAAATAGTAGTTTATAATAAAAAAATAATAAAAAATTAGATTAAACTAATAAATTAGCTTATAGATTAATAAAAGATTAATAAAAAATATATTATAATTTTAGATTTATTAATATTAATTAGTTTATATTTATAGTAATAAAATAGTTTAACTATTTTAAAACTAGTAGCTAGAACTAGAATTAAATACTTAATTTAAATATAAAGTATTAAATTCTAATCTAGATTTTAGTTAGAAATAGTATAGTTAATAAAAAACTTTTAATTTTAATTAAAAATTTATAAAAATTTAAGAATATTTTCTAGTATATTAATTAGAATCTAGTTTTTATTAATTTAAAAAATTTACTAAAAAATTATTAAAATATATTTAATAATAAATCTAGTTTCTATTAGAATATTATTTATATATTATAAGTATTATAATATTAAAAATACAACTAAACATAAAATTTTTTATCTTAATAATATTAAATTTCTTAATACTAGTTCTTGAATAATATAAATAGAAAGAAATCTTAAATATAATAGATATATTAGTTAAAGAATAATAAATAATTATTAATATTATATTAAAAATTAACAGAAATAAAAATTTTAAGAAAATAAATTAATAAATAAATATTAAATAAATAACAAACATAAAAACAAAAATAATAAGAAGAAATTCAGATAAAAAGATTTAGTAAAAAATTAAAATATAGAAATAAATACAAATTTATCAATTTTTTTTATTTATATATATATTTTATATCAGATTCTAACTAGATTATTAATAAAATATATATTCTATTTACTATTCAAAAATCTTTTATTTATATAATATATGGTTTATTAGATATTTTTTTTATTATTATAGTACCGAACTTTATTATTTAAAAAATACTACTAGTAAAAATATTTAATTAAAATAAATAATAAAACTATTTATATTTATACTACTATATTAAATAATCTAACTTAATAAAAAAATATAATTATTATATAATATTTACTACTATAATAGTTTATATTTACTATTATAATAGTCTATTCTAGAATCAATATAAATTTATCAGACTTTCAATCCGAATATTTATATTATTATATTATTTTTTTTGTATAATATATTATTCTAAAATTCCTTAGAGAAGAAGATTTCTTAAGAATTAGTCCTAATTTAAATAAAAAACTATTTTTAACTATTTTATTTGTCTTGTCTAACCAGCGTGTCTATTATATCAAGTAGTTCCTAACAATATAACAGTATAAAATTATTATTTCTTTTACGTACAAAGTATAGAATATTTAATACAGATATAGTAGAAAAAGACGGAAGAAATAAATAGGAAAGAAGTAAGACAGAAGAAGCAAGATGTTAAGACAGAGTCAACATTAAGTACTTATGAATACTTAAAAAATAACTTAAAAAATTATTTAGAAAAATTATAAAAAATTAGTTTTAGTATATATAAAAGTATTGAAACGGGTGGCATAAAATAAAATTTTTTGTTTATATAAATAATAGGATTACTTGAAAATCACGTGACCAAACTGCATATTAAGCAGTTTTTTATTCTATATAAACCAAAAAAGCAGTACAGCCGACCTGCAACCATCTTTCGACTCACCGCTCATAATGTCCTTCCAGTTGTTATATCACTTTACCGAGAATGGAGATACCGTGTCCGAGGTGGACCGACCCCGTGACCGTGGACCTCGAATATAATTATTGACCTAGTAGCGAATGGCTTCTCCGTAGTTTATTAGTCAGTAAATAGTAACTATAATATAATCAGTAAGCGAGAGGAACGCGCAAGCAGAAGAAACACTTATCTTATAATTCTGCTTTATATATAAATTTAAAGTTAAATATTAATCTTTTTATATTATTTAAATCGCCTTTTTTTAGTATTTTATTCTTACTGGATATTATATCTGTATATAACCAACTTAATTATATAAAAAATAGTAAGATAATATATAATAGTAAAACTATTTCTTACCAGCCGTAAAATTAAATTATTAAATTTCTAAAACTTTATTTTTTTTATAAATCTAATAAAAAAATTATATAATTTTATAAACTATAATTTCTTCCAGGCCTGTTGATTAGTAATTATTTTATTTTCTTTTTTTAGTTTAGTATTTGTCTGCAGCCTATAAATTATAACTTTTTTATTTAAATAAAATTATTATATTTAATACGATTTTACAGTCTTTGATAATATATAATAATATAGTTTTTATTAACTTTAAAAAACTTTATATACGTTTATATAGTAATTTCTTAATTATAATTTTAAACTTTTTTATTATTTTATATTCTTAAATATTTTTAGTATAAAAAATAGTAGTTTAATTTTTAGTAGAAGTAATTTCTTATAGGCTATATATCAGCTTTCTAAATATCTTATCTAGCTGGAAAGATACTAAGCCGAAAACTAAAAAAATATTTTATATAAATAATTTTTTAAAGATAAGTTTTTAAGTCTTAGAAAATATATCCAAAAAATTAATTTTATTAATATAGTAGATTTTTTAGCAAATTAGCTGTTTAATTAAACTATTATATATTTTTTTAACAGTATAAAGTAGATAATATTCAAAGACTAATAAAAATATAAAAATTATAAAGATATACAGATAAAAATAATACTATTTTAACTATAGATTTTATTAAAATAAAATATTAAATAAGAGTTATATTTGTCGAGAATTAAAAGATTATATTTTTTAACTTACTATTTTTTAATTAAAGAGATAAAGTAATATATAAATTAATATAATCCGATTTTATTACTTGTCTAACTATTTAGCAAGATATTAATTTTTTAAAAATAAAATATCTTATTTTTATACTAGATCTTTATATATATCTTTTTTTTAACAATAATATACAGAGACAGAATCTAGTCTAAAATATTAATATACTTAATTAATATTATCTACTTGCAATTTTCAGACTATATAAAAAACAGCTTATTTATATAATTAGATTTTATTATTATTTTAATAATAGCTACCAAGCCTATAATAAATCTAGTTTTATTAAAGTTATAAATATTTTTATCTATAATTCTATTTTTTAATATAATATTTTTAATATAGTTAAATTATTTTTTAATAAGTCTCGGATCTTCGCAGAGAACTCTTTTATAATTATATTAATAAAAAAAATATATCTTTAAAAAATTATAATATTTAATAAAGTTATATATTTATTTTTATTTTATTAAAATCTTATTTAATATCTCCAGTAAGGCTTCTTATTTCCGGATTAATATAAATACTATTTTATAAATATAAAAAGACCTAGAGAAAAGCTCTTGTATATTTAAAAAGAAAATCTATTATTCTAATATTTTTTTTAGAATAGTTAATTTACACAAATTAATATATATATTACTTTATAATTTAACTTCTTTAATATATTTCCAAAGAATGGTTTGCGGAATATTAAAAACACGTATTACTTTTTATAATAATAGAATTTAATTATTTTTTAAAGTCTTAATTGCCAGAAAGATCCTGTCTTCTTATTTCTTACGTTTTTCAACGATATAGATATTTTAGTGGTTGGAATCGTTGATCGAAGACCTCGCATTTTAGTGGAATACAAAGATCACGAGGTGGGCGTTCCTCCCGCTTGCGCGTTCCTCTCGCTTACCGATTACGTTAGTACCTGCCGGGGTCATATACTCTAGGTAGGGCAACTACCTACTAACGTATGCGTGCTTAACTTATACGTATACTACTATACTAGGTACCTGACTACCCTGAGTACTAACTGCATGAGGTGCGTTCGGAAGTAGCGTACCCGCGCACCGTTCAGCCAGCTTCTTGAGTGGCTGCCTTAGCTACGAGCGCGTACGCCTGAAAGAAGAGGTTGGAAGGGCGACATAGTTCCCGAGTATGTCAGCAACAATCATGTCTTCATGTCTTGCAAACGTATTTTCTCCTACGGAACGGTTTATTTCACCGCCGGAGTTAGCCGGTTGACTAGTCTGTCATGCGCAGCTTGAACACCCAAAACAGTTATGAGTAACTTCATGCACTGACTAACCACTTTTGCTGCGTCATCTTCTGTAGTTACAAGACCAACCACACATGATCATCAAGAGTAGCCAAGCACGCGGGTAGCTTTCCCAGGCACATTGCGAGGACCCACCTCGTGTTCGAGTTGCCATAATCCTCAACCATCAACATGTCGCCTGCGATACCCTCACGCAACGAATCGCATGTTCTGAATCAAGTGAGTCCTTGTGTAACAAGCCGTAGAACTTTAGACTGACCTGCCGTCCTACTTAGATCATCATATCCCCTTCAGACACAGACTACCTGGATCAATTGATTCCGTCCATCAAAGAATACAGTATTGGCAACAGAACTTCCCAACTCTTACAGTCTTTGGCCAAATTTGCAAGTGATAAGGAGGCAGAAATAGAGGCCATTTGCAATACAAATCATCAAGAATTTGTTGCTTCCATCAATCAACTTCTTCGTATCAGGGAAGGTACGGTTAGCCTGACAGCCGAGATCTTAGACCTCAACCAATCCATTCAAGCAAGTACGGAAAGACTGGCAGAGCAGAAAAGAGCCCTGGTGGAGTCGCGCAGTCACCGGCAGAATATTGATGAATCTTCTGGCGCTATACAGGATTGTCTTGAAGTTCTGCGCCTTGCCAATCAAATCCATGATTTGCTTTCCAGAAAAAATCATTATGCGGCCTTACGCGCCCTGGAGGAGCTGCAGAATGTTCACCTTAAAGGGGTTACACAATATAAGATCGCTGAGATGATCCAACGCTCAGTGCCTGCCACGCAGAAGATAATTGCGGAAGCAGTCATGTCTGATCTGAACACTTGGCTTTACAGAATTCGTGAAATGTCTCAATACCTTGGCGAAATAGCTCTGTACCACACCGATCTACGAAAGTCGAGACAGAAAGAAAGAGCAGGAGCATTGCCCTACTTGGGACAATTCAAGCTTAACTCCGCCATTGAACTTGTTTCCGATGAGAGTGAAGAGTATGACTTACTACAGAACGACGAACTCCAGGTTGATTTCACGCCACTACTTGAATGTTTACATATTCATCGATCCTTAGGGCGTATTGACATGTTTCGCCTCGAATATGCCAACACACGCCGTCGGCAAAAGGAGCTTCTGTTGCCTACATCAATAACGTTGATAGATGAAGATGGGGCTTGTCTTCATAATCTCCTCGAAGAAATGGCGGGATTTGCAATTGTTGAGCGCTCAACGATGAAAAGAATCCCGGACCTAAGATCTTCTATTGACGTATGTCATCTCCTTACGCTTAAGCTGGTGTCAAGTTGCTAATATCACGGAATGGGCAAGGTCGATGAACTATGGGACTCGATGTGTCAAGCTGCTGTGAGCTTGATAATGAAGGCTCTTCGCGAAGTTGATAATGCTGAGAGCCTGCTCAAAATCAAGAATCTAATTGCATTGTTTATGCAAACAATGAACGTTTGTTGATCCGATTCTTATGGCTAATGTGGAATCTTGTACTAATTCATGTCCTCTAGACATGGGACTTCCCTGTCGGCGTCTTTGATACGTTTTTATTGACACTTTTCGAAAAGTATGCTGACCTTCTTAAGAAGAGGTTTAGTGATGATTTTCAAGAGGTGTGCCCGTGCCTTTTTTAGACGAATTGGTATCCACATTGCTAAGGGACTTTGAAGATCGTTTCGACCGACGATTATATGCCTATGCCGATACAAACAATTGAGGAATATGAGAAGGTGCTAAATGTCAGCTGGTACAATCCAGAAAAACCACACGAAGAACAGATGTAAGAATTCCTCTCATTCAACCTTGATTTGACAACTAAGCCACCAACTCTTCTATCAGGTTCCCTTGCGTCTTACCATTCTCTCAAATGTATCCGCTGTGCTGCATTGATATTCGCAATTTCTTGAATCAATTTTACTTCTTCGCCAATGATGATTTCCCTCATACCAATGTGATTGATGAGACACTCAAAGATGTGAGTGGCATACTGACATTAGATATTATCTGCAAGCTAATGATGTAAGGCATTGGACGAACTTCTTTCGAATAAAGTGTGTGATACACTTGTCGAGCGTCTCTCTTCCCAGTACTTGGGACAGATTGTGCAGATTCTTATCAACCTAGAGCATTTTGAACATGCATGCCGCGAGCTCGAGTTGCTTCTTGCAGCGGCAAGATCACATACCTCTTCTAGTGAGTTTGTGAAGCTGAATGCAACAGAAAAATTCAAGAACAATAAGAAGGCGGCCGAAAAGCGAATCTTTGAGGTAGTCAACTCTAAGATTGATGACCTCATTGAGACAGCTGAGTACGATTGGATGGCTCATATTCCGCCTACGGAGCCGAGTAACTACATGCAAACACTGACCAGGTTCCTTTCTAACATCATGAATTCGACGCTCCTCGGCCTCCCTACGGAAATCAAGGAGCTAATATATTTCGACGCCCTTAGTCACGCAGCAAACATGATCCTAGTGTGTTTCACTTGCACAATGCGAGAAATCTATCTCTGACATAACTCAGGCACTCCCTCTTTCGTCCGATGTGAAAAAAATCAATACAAATGGGGTGCTAGCTCTCGCTAAAGATGTCGAGTATCTATATCAATTTGTCGACAGCCTCGGCGTGCCCATACTACGGGAGAATCTTGACGAGCTGCAGCAAACAGTGCAATTGATGCAGGCAGACAACACAGATGAGTTCTATGATATATCTACACGAAACAAGAAGTACGGACGTGTAGATGCCATCAACGGCCCCGTCCTTCTAGAGAAGTACGTCAAAGCTAAGCGTGCCGAACCCGAAGTGAAACATGTGCTAATCGATCGCCGAAGGATTATGCGCACTGTGCAAAGCTCTGCGAAAACTGATAAATTCGCTACCTTATCTTCGAGATTCGGAAAGAAATCATGAAACACGATACAGTTGTCCCGATTCTGCTATTTAAGCACATCAAGCAATTGCTGGATCATGTCTACTCAAAACATGACAGAGAGGGCTCATGCGTCTCAGGCTCTCAATTCGCCATTTCTTACCACTAACCAAAGCGTATCAACTCTTCCAATTCCATTCAACATTCAAAAGGTCGAGGAAATCGACTCAAGCACCCAAACACCTAAGCGAGAAACATAAATCATAATATCACTTGTTTAGAAAACTGATTAGTCCATAAACTCGTTCATAACGATAGCTTCAGTGGTACCAATCGAATCCTGATAATGTGACATACCTGTTGCGGTGGCATATGCGGGTAAGCATACATTCCGTCGAACATTTGAGGTTGATGTCCCCCATAAGCCGCGGTAGGGTCCGACTGTACAGCACCGGCATACATTGTCGGCTGTCGGTATTCCGGATCTTGTAATCCGTGCTGGCCTAGCGAGCCATAGTCTGGGGGGGGCATATGGTGTGAAGTGTGTTGAACTCCATGTTGGGCCGCTGGCATTTGATTTGCGGGGCCGGCAGCGCCCGATGCGCTTGCAGCTGCCCCAGCAGTCTGACTTGAACGCTTCGCATGCGATGTAGCCTCCTCACGAGGTACTATATCAATGAGGAAATCAAACATATCTGATTTCGAAAGAGCTGCTGCGATGTCCGACCTTTGTAGTGTGCGCCGTTTATTGTCTTCAGCATGGATCCATGCGCGCATAGTAAGCTCGGTGATAAAGATGTCGCACCCCTTTGCAAATAGGATAGGCGCTTCGGCTGAAATCATCTTTACCTCCGGGTCGGCTTTCATCACCTTCTTAATACGGGCGAGCGGTAACTGATGTATCTTATAATCATGATTATCTGTCTCGAGGTGATTGATAATGTGCTGCCAGTATGTTGTTAAGATATCCCGAGCCGTTCCTTGCAGTCCTTGATTCACCTGTCCGTTATTAGTTACAATCAAAATGCAGCTGCCGAAGACCTCTACTCGCATTTGCCCAAGTGCCCGTATAAAGCTCAGCAACAGGTGCGAACCCTTGCGCAGATAGCTAGACAGATCAAAGCAGTGGTCAGTATCGGAGTGTTCATAGTCAGAGCCTGCTCGCAGACAAGCCCCGGAGAAGTGGGGAGTCCTACAGCTGCACTGGCTCCTATAGAAATATGCGTCAGCCCAATCCTCAGGTTATGGAGACGTGCTGAGTATGTAGGGAGGGCCAAAGGTTATACCGTAATGCCCCCCATTTCTAGTGTCATATACAGGCTGCTGTCTGCCCTGTTGCTGTCCAGCACTTTGTGTAGGCTGTTCCATTTTGCGAAGCTCGCTGTTGAGAATGAACTCGAATTACATGCAAATAGAATGATAGAGTTGTTCCGATAAGGTGAGAGAGACGCAGATTAGGTATGGTAGCGACGAATATATGCTGAATAGTATCCCCGCGCCTAACGGTAAGAGTAAAGGTGAATAATAGAGATAATAGGAGTGAAGACAGACGCAAATGCTGGGTAGCAGTCAGGAGAAGAGCTGGGTAAGACAGTAAGTTGACGGCCCATCAGGTGGATGAAGTTGGTGGTAGCGTGCAACAAAGCCGCGCCAAGCTTGGCAGGCTGTCGACCTCGGGAGGTACGTACGTAGTAGGTAAGGTACTGTGTAGGTACATCACTATACTATATGGATCCCTGCTTACTATTGAATCACAGCACGTCGATTGTGACTTTTCGAATCAATGCGGATTATGGCTTACAGCTTTCTCCAGGTTCATGATACTAACCCGGGGACCTGTTTGCGAATAGGCTTAGCCCACCATTCGATTCCAGTCTACATATCCCCCTGTGCGGTGCAGACGCAACACAGTACCGCGACTAGTTACAGTACAGTGCTGATATCAGCTAGACATCCCAGTGCTTACTCTGACATCATGGTGCCACATGCATATCAATCGGTCTATACTGTGTGCATCGTACCATTGGATCCCCCCCAGTTGATGGGAGTATGAGTGACATAGGAAGGCGCACCGAAACCAGTACCCATGCAGATTTCCAAGCATAGGCTGATGGAACTTTACATTCGTATAAGTTACCATTTAATTACACTGTTCAGCAATCTAAGGCGGATTCGACACGCGCGCCCGGACTGTAATGAAACGTATTGACCAGTAGGACAACTCAGTTACTGGTACTGCGGGCCCCCACTGAGAAAATTTTCCTCAACCTAGCCGATGTTGTTCCAAAGTCCAAAAAATAGCTCGACCTTTCTCTCCCCCCATAAATACCGAGTTTTGATTTTGCTTCCTCACTTCTATCGCCTCCATCCTTTATTCTTGCAGGTTCATTACAACGATAGAATCGCGCAGTCTGGTCATAAGGACCATGACAGGGGCAACATGCTTTAAATTTGATGACCTCCAATTACAGGATGGCATTATCTTAACAGATCAGGAGATAGAACAGCTTCTCCTCGAAGCTGAAGATCGGCTCCAGGGTTGCGATGGCGAAAGACCCAAAGAATCTGACCATATACAGGCTGCAGACTCACTCTCTGAGCAAAATTTGATACGGTTTGTCTTTCGGTGGCATCTGCTCCAAGGTATTCTCTGCCTTAGTATAAAGCTAATTCTATACTCATCAGGATACCAAAATTATCTGACAGTACGGCTCTCGAGCCGTATTTTCATCCCAAAGATGATATAGCATTGGTAGATACTGCCAGGTTGCTGACTCATGAAGACTACAATGATGGTCTTACTAAAAGGCCAAGCGGAGCTACTCATGATTCAAAGAGCTTGAAGGTAAGAGTCCCTGTCTCTTTTGTTGCTTGTTGCAGTCGATCAACCCCATCGCAATGAGGAAAATATATCGCGTAAGCGCTTGATACAGCTTATCATCCCGTACTGGGCTGCGCTGTGCCAATGAAAGTTCTTTTTTGTTTCATAGTTACTCTGAGAAAATTTCTGTTCGCAACCTTGACATCTCACCGCAAGGAAAGGGTTCAAAGGCTAATTGCGTCGAATTCCAGATGAAACCAACGGCCGGTAGTGACTGGTTTGACCTGCCCAAAACCGAACTGACGGCAGAGTTAAGACGAGACCTACAACTTCTTCGAATGCGCTCAGTCTTGGATCCCAAGAGGCATTATAAGAAGGAGAACAGTAAAGCGCAGCCCCCCACTTATTCTCAAATTGGCACGATCATTGAAGGTCCAACGGAGTTCTTCAGTGGCCGCATCGCGAAAAAGGACCGTAAGAAGACATTTGTCGACGAAGCATTGGCAGTGGAGAAGGAGACCAAACGCTTTGAGACTAAGTACAGGGACATACAGGCCACCAAACAAAGTGGTAAAAAGGCTTACTACAAAACTCTACGCTCTAGAAGAAATACCAGAGGGAAGTAGACTGACTAGCTCGAAAGCTTATGGGGGGTTTCGTTCTCATTCAGGGTCAAGCGATGGCGTGCTGTCACTGGACAGGGCACTTGGCTTATTTATCTAAGCCTTGGGTCGAGAATCTCGCGTGCGCTTACCGAACAGGGTCGTCTCGCCCCCAATTCGCGAGATCGCCCCGTTAGCGCCTGTCGGATGGTGGAAACCCGAAAGCGACTGTCTCCATCACCAACCTCTGCACACGTGTCAATTGGCATTCGGCTCCAAGGGAGAAGAACGAGCATACTTGCATGTCGATTGCTGCCGAGCGACCAGCGTCAAGGACTTCTTGATGGTTAGCCTTGCCTTCCTGCATGATTGCATCCAGCTCTTCCGCCCTCTTGCATGTGAGCAAACTGTCATCACCTCGGGGAACTGGTTCCAGAACAGCCTTATTAGTCACGAGACTCAATGCTAGGACTCGCATGCCGCAATGCCTCGCAACAACAATTTCTGGGACAGTGGACATCCCCACCACATCGGCGCCTAATCCGCGGAGCATGCGACATTCTGCTCTGGTCTCATAGCTGTACCAGTTTAGCTGTGCAAACGGAGTATGGGATTACACCGCTCACCTTGGTCCGCCAACAAAAGCATATATACCCTCGTGGAGCCTCCTCTTGTTGCCCGATAGATCCATGGCGGCCCAAGCTTTATGAACATGGCGGCGCAGGTCGAGATCGTAGGCATCAGATAGTGGAGGGAAACGTGGACCGAATTCTTCGGCATTGGGCCCTCTTAGTGGATGAATGCCTGCCAGTCCAGAAAGGAATAAATGCTGTACACCTTTGAGAATAAGCCACTCTTTTAGAGCATAAGGGTTTGTCCACTGACGTCGTTGAGTAGCACAATGTCTCCCACCATATAATCTGGATTTAAGGCCCCCGCGGCATTGGTTACTATCACCGTTTGAGCGTGTTAGTTTCGAGATATGAAAGGCAATCACTCCTGCCGTACCCTCTTCCATCTGCCTGAGGGGAAAAGGGAAGACTGACAGATTATTGTGTCAATGCCAAGTAGCTTGAAAACGCGTACAGGAAATGTCACTCGATCAAGAGAATGGCCCTCGTAGTAACTGTGAACAGGTCGCAGTCAATCAGCAATCCATGCAGTCATTGGACTTGACGAAGATGGAGGTTTATCTCACTGAGCTCGGCCCACCATCAACACTGCAGGGACCTGCCCGTTGAGACATCCAAAGACGAGTTTTCCTGCGTGGCCGGCAACTTATAGATGCAAGATAAGCACTGAGATTTAAGTAATGACGAACTCGTGGAGCGTAAAGGTTACCTGTTAGATGAGGGAAATGAGGAATTGACTTGAAGTCAAATTCGGCTCGCGGTTGGGCGTCAATTGTGTTGGCGAGCCCGCCCAAGCCAGAGCCACAGATTATGGCGATGCGAGGGGCTTGCAACGGAGACGGCAAGCGATCTTTAAAAAAGAGAGCTGCTTCACACGCTTGCTCGTATGAATAATGTGCCATGTTCTTGGGTCACAAAGACTCTTCTAAATAGAACACTGTGTGAAAGTAATAAGTCACAGCTGCTGCTAGATTAAGAAGGACGGGCAAGTTTCTCCGTAGAATACACACACATAACACAAATGATAGGTTGGTTGTTGAACATTACTAAGTTAAGAAAATCAGTTAAGTTACCGCTCTCCGGACTGTGTAGAAAAGAGTCTCCAAAAGTGCGAGCGCATTGTCGAAAGTCCCGAAATAGATTCTGAATAGAATTAGTACTAAATCCATCATGCCATTCTAGAGACTTTGAAGTGACAGGGTCTCTGTCAAGACACTAATACCCTACATCATTTATGTCGCCATGAGCTTTCTCACGTCCATGTTTCTCTTGTAAGGATAAGCAAAAATACACCAGTACATATAGTTCAGAATCTTAACAAGAAGCTATGTGCGGGCTATCAACTAGTTAACAAATATCATATAATTGTCCCAATCAAGAGAATAAGTTCACGACTAGATTAGAAGATGGGCATGGTATATACACCTATCCAGTGGGATGCAGGTCTTTCTTTGCACTCCTGACTTACCAGATACATTGACCCTTAGTACTTGAAGCCTCTACACAAGAAGGATGGAGATGAATTCAAAGGATTAAAGTGATCAATTCCACAATCATGCTGATGACGCTAAGATAGATAACTTACAATACAGGGAAGAAAATCAGACTACAGAAAAGCCGATCTTGTTTTTTCGGTCGTGTGGCACAAAAGCTTCTTATTAAGCGGATTTATCATGTGACTGCTAAAGAAGCTAGTTATCTATACAAAACAGAAATATTGTGTTGCATTAATTTTTTTCATTACTTTTATGGCAGGATACGATAAACGTAGATAAGATGAAGATTGATCTGATTGATTATAGAAAAGATAAAAAAATTAAGAAGACTGAAAGATACTTATAGTTATAAATTAGTTTTTTACTATAATACTTTTTAATAAATCTACTTATTAGATTAAAGGCTATATGTCTATTAATATAGAAGATATTATATTATAAAATACAGTAGCAGCTATATAAAATAATATATTTATTTAAAAACTACAGTAATTTTTTGATAGTCTGATCATTTGTAAAGATATTTATTTATAATATTTAAAAAAAATATTAAAATAATTAAACAGGTTTTTATCGGAAGATATAGGTTCAAAATATATAATTAAAATAATAAAATATACATATTAGAAATTAAAGAAATTAAGTTTATAAATATAGTATTTTAGAAACTAATACTTCTGTTATGGGACCAAGGCCCTGATATAGAGCTCAGCTTCAGGCACCAGTTAATGCCTGAGATCTCGCACGCTATATACTAACTAGCGCTAGCTTAGCATATATAGAAAAGAATTTTATATAAATAGATAAAATAGTTTTTTAGCTATTTTTTTTATTCTAAAATATATTTTAATTAGTATAATCTATTTG